GCAGCCGGGCCAGGCAGGGCCGGGAAGCCACCGCCTCCTCATCTCCATTTTGTGCTCCATGGCAGGAGAGGGAGCCGGTGAGGATGGCAGCCACCTCTGCCCTGGGCCACATGCTGGGGTGGGACCTGAAATGTAAGCTGAGAACCACGATGAAAAGGGAACTGTATAAATTTCTGCTCCCGTTGCTGCTGAACATGCAGGAGCAAGGTACGCTGGCTGTCTCTGTCCTGCCCAGCCCAGGCCTCTGCATGCCCTCTTTGTGCCCGAGCAGAGCCCCTTCCCTTCGGCTCTCTCTTCACGAGCCCAGCTGTGGCCATACACTGTACAGCCGCCTCCTTGTCATCCTCCTCTGGGCTGGCCCTGAGCGTGCCCACCCTCTCTCTGTCCTCTTTCTGGAGAACAGGTCTTGGTGGCTTCTAGGTGGAAACATTCTGTAAGACGGTGCGAATGGGTGGCAACATGTGACACAGTCACACAATGGAATGCCACTAAGCCCTAAAAGAGAACGAACTACTGATACGCACCACGTCATGAATGAACCTACAGAACGTGTGCTAAGTGAAAGAAGCCTGGCATAAAAGGCCGTTTCTTGTGGAAGTTCCGGGCAGGCAACTCCACAGAGACAGCAGCTTAGCGACTGCAGGGAGGGATGAGCAAGGGGACGCTCCGTGTGCGAAGGGCGGGAGGGATCTCACTGGGGGGAGGAGGTGTTTTAAGACTGATACATGGTGGTGGATGCACCATTCAGTACAGTTACTAAAAATCATAGAATTATAAAACAAAACAAAGACAAAACCCTGAGTCACGTTCACTGTGTTCAGTTGGACACATTTTTTTAGAAACGCACTAAAATAAAATTAAAATCATCATTCGTCATCCGTAGTTGGGGGAGAATTTCCTTCTGGGCTTTTCTCCTCATGCAAATACTTTGTCAGCACCACTGGGCTCATGCTGGCAGTGAGGCTTTGTAGCGTGGTCATCTCGCCTACTTCCTGACACAGTGTCCTACGGCATTAACTCTCCGAGGTCAGTGCTACCTAAAGTCACCAGGAGAAAAGCCATAATGTTTGGGACGGGGCAGCGGTAAATGCAGTAAGTGTGTATGCTCAGTGTGCTAGCCCATGTGCATTTTGATTCTGGAAGGGGAAGAGAGAAAGGGAGGGAGTGTGTCCGGGGTGTTCCTTCCATCTGTCCGTCTGGATGTGGTGTCTGCTGCTGTCCACGCTCTGTGTCCTAGAAGGTGCCCTCTCCCACCAGCTCCCATGCCCTCGGCTTCCTGTTGGGTTCCTCCCTCCCTGATGAGAGATCAGTGGGCAGGAGAGAGAGAGACTGGGGTATTCCTTCTCCAGCCCCCTCTGTGCCATCTGTCCCTCTGTCCCCAGCCACAGCTCTCTCCTGCAGCCCCTTTGGGTTCCGATAACTGCTCCCTCCCCTGTCTCATAGGGGGGGTGTCAACTGGCTGCTTGTCCAGCGCTGGATGCTTCAGCCTCTCTGCTTGGCTCCCTGCCCTACTGCCCTCTGCGAGCCTGCCCTTCACGTGGTCACTCTGACGGCCTCTCCCGAGGGCCTTCTGTTCCCCGCTGTGCAGCACGTCCTAAATGTACTGGAGCAGGAGTTTCTCATGGAGGTCACGTGGGACACAGTTAGGGAAACATTGTTCTCCAGCAGCCTTTTGAACAGCTGCACAATTCCCCATACTGCGTGTGTGATGTTATCATGTATTTAACCTCCTACCATTGAGCAGCTGTTCACTGCTGGTATTTTGCACATCTTTGTGCAATGATTATGTCCTTTGGATAGATTTCTAGAATGGCCAAAGGGCACGGCCACTTGAAGGTATTTCCAGTAGATCTTGAACAGAGCTCTTGAAGCCTGCCCAGCCCAGGGACAGTGGCCTTGCCAGCTTGAGGGCACCACCCCCTGCACCCGGTGTCTGGGACGTTCAGGAATCGTTAAGAAAGCAGACTTTGGCTGTGGGAGCTGAGGACAGCAATTTGGTTTGGAGGCCCCAGGCCTGTTTTGTTCTGGGACTTTGAGGACACTTGTTCTGTGAGCTCTGTAGCAGGTCCTGCCCGAAGTGTCCTGGCCCTTCTCAACAAGGGATGTTTGAGAAACGGGTTGGCGTCCCAGCTCAGCCACTCCCCAGGGGCGTGGCATCGGCCTGTCGTGGAGGCCCCCTGAGGTCTGGCCCTCTGAGTTGTGGACCGCGGGCCCGCACGGGATCAGCTCCCCTAGTCTCAAGTGCCCACCGCCTCGCCCGGCCCGTGCTGGGGGAGACGCGGTGGCCGTGCGTCTGCCTTCTCCGAGCCGCACGCACACATCCACGCATGAGGGCTTGGACTTTGTTGTCTGTGCGACTTTGCCTCCCTGCGCCCTGGCCCCAAAGTGGCATTTGTCAGCTCCCTCGGATGCACAAAGTGCTCTGTCGGGCTACTTGTGACTGGGAAGCCATTCGGGCTTAAAATATTTCTTAACATGAAACTCTTGCCATTCCAGTTCTTTGCTTTTCTAGGGGAGCCTGAGGCCGACCTTTACGACTGCCGCAGAGCCGCCCCGATGGGCACGTCCAGCACCTGGACGGCGGACACTACTACTTTGCGTGTGCCTGGAGTGGTTATTTTGGTCTGAGCCGATTATTCGCACGAATTTAATTGGTGTGTCCTTCCCGGTTCCATCAGGCAGCTGCGGGGCTCTGTCCTCCCGGCGGGTCCTCGAGTCAGCGTTCTGCACCTTCTGATGGTTCACCCTGGAGTCTCTTTCATTCCCCAGGCCGAGGGCTTTGTTTTATCTGTCTCCACATTCCTGTCCTGTGTGCTGCAGCGGTCTTTCTTTGGGACTATCTTCCAGTAACAGAGGCCACACTCCCTGTCCTGCTGGCACAAGGGAAGGTGACAGCAAGTGAAGAGTCACCACCTCTTCGCTTGCCAGGTGGTGAGTGAGGTGCTGCGTCTGCACCGTCTGCATGTCACCTCCCCAGCCTTTGCCAAGCACACCCAGCGTCAGCATTCAGTAGGCGCTCATTCACTCTACCTGCCCTCACGCATGCCCTGGGGCCTAGTCTGGGCTAGGCACTGGGGCTCGCCTTGCAGAAAGACGTCGTCCACCCATCCGTTCACTCCTCACCCATTCAGCCAGCCGGCGTGTAGGAGAACCCTGTGTCAGTCCTAGCACTCACTCGCAGCAATGGAACCTGCTCTTGCCGGTTGACGCAGACACAGAAGTTGTTCCAGGGTGTCAAGTGCTGCACCGTCTGGGAGGCCCAGAGAACCCGCTGCACAGTCAGGAGCAGCCCCCGCCTGAGACTCGCTCTGCTCCCTGGAAACCGTGCTCCACCGGACACCAGCTCATGCCCACGGCTGCCCCTGCACACCGCCACCTCTGCTGCCCTCGCCAGGATGGACGCCAGAAGGGGCCACGTCCTCACCCCAGAGGCTTCCGACACAGTTCCTGCAGGGGAACGTCCTGCTGGCAGGGAGGCCCCACGCCCCACGCCCCACGGAGCTGTGACAGGTAGCTTCTCTGTTGTTCCTCAGGGAAGGGAAGGATGTGCCCTCAACTCCAGGCAAGGGGTCCTGGCCAAAGTCACAACTCAAGCTCGCTGCCTCCTCCCCTCCCTTCAGAGCCCCAGAGTCATTGACCAGGCCATGGTCCCTTCAGTCCATAGCAGGCCATGCCCTGCACGTGGTAGCATTTCTTTACAGGGCCTCGGGTCTGCCCCCTTCCCCTCCTCCCACTAGGAATGTCCCCATGGGGTGGGAAACAGGGAAAACGCACAGTATGATTCCTGAGGATGCCTGAGTGCCCACTCACCTCCTCGGAGATCTGCCACGGGGACTCTCTCCTTGTTAGGAAGCATCAGAGCAGAGCTGCCTGGCTGTTAATGGGCTCTGGAGGCTGTGACATGTGTCTGCCCGCAGTTTCCAGGGGTCTGGCTTTGTCTGTGTAAACTGGAAAAATCTAGAGTAGTTGCTGGGGTTAAGCCACCAGATGCTCATTAGTCGCCTCCTCCCGAGCGCTGCACACAAGTATCCCGGGAAAGGAGCGGTGGCCTGGCAGCCGGCGCTCTAAGGGTGGGGTAGGGTGGGGCTAGGAGATTGGGTTCTCCTTCCCTGGGCAGCCCTGGGAGGTGCAGACCCTGCCAGCTGCATGAAACCTTCTCCAGTGGGCACGTGTGCAAGGCTGGGTTAGAGACAGAGCTTGAAGGGCACCAGGATAGGACCTGCCGAGTGCCAGGCACATGATATGTGTGCTAGCTCAGTGGATCCTCCCAGCCTGGGGTGTTATTACGTCCCCTATTTTGCTTATGGGGAAACTGAGGACTGAGGCGGTAAGGCCACAAGCCTAAGCCACACGAGTGGCGTTTGATGGAGAAGGTGAGTCGGTCTCCAAGGCTGATGTTCATTCCCCAGGCCATGCTGCTCCCCTGTCCCCCCAAGCTGAGGACTGGGAGTCCGAGGCTCAGAGGAGTGAAGTGACCTGCTCAAGGTCACACAGCGAGCCTGTGACATTGCTGGGCTGAGACTCCTGAGCCTTCTACTGAAGGATAGTAAATGACAGGTGGGTAATGTCCCTGCTGCACCCTGATGGGGCAGAAGGCAGGAGAGCAAGGCCTGAGACCCAGTGAGTGTGTGTGGGACTGGGCTCCGTGCAGGATACCAGCTGCTGCCCCTGCTCTGTGAAACTGGGACTGAGGCTCCATCTACAAGCTCCAGGCAGCTCTGGGGCCCTGCGTGGAAGGCATGTGGGTGCAGGTGGCTTTCTTGGACTGCTCTCGTTTCTGGGGTTTTGGGTCTCATGGGCCTGGGCATGGTGGCCAGTAGGCCTGGCCACACCATTACACTCCCTTTCCCTCTCTAGGTGAGTGCTCCCCAGCCCAGATGGGAGTCATCCAGGCCTTGTACCCAGAGTACCTCTTCGGCTGGACGCAGCAGTTCCAGCAAGCCATCGCCAAATACCCAGCACATGATGTTTTCACCAAGGAGCCAGGCTTCCATGCTGCTCTGGGTAAGTTTGCCAGGATTTGCAAGGGCCTTGCAGACAGTCTTTTCCTCATGGACATCTCGGGTCTGCTGCGCGTTCAGCTCACAGCGGCCACCTGTCCCGAGGAGCAGAGGTTGTTGAGAGCCCAGCCCAGGAATCCACACCAGGGCACTGGCCTCTGTGGCTCCAAGTGGCCACCAGGAGGGGTTGGCCTTCCTGAGCAGGGTCATGATGTTTTCAGCACCACCTACAGCCATCAGAAAGGATGCAGAGTTCAGAGTGCAAACCCCTGGTCGGGTCGGAGTCCTCCTCTGCTGTTCCCTGCTGTTCTGCCTGCGGGGGTGGAGGCTGCTCCCTCCAAGCCTCCTGTCCTGAAATGGGGAGGATGGGGCCTGGCCCTGCCTGCGTGGAGTAAGTGAGAGGTGGCCAAAGTGTCCTTAGCAAAGAGTCAAGGGCTGTTCCGTGGGCCGGAGCGTAACTGCTGCGAGGCCAGGAGACCAGCGAGGTGGAGCTGAGGCCGCCCCGTGGGCTGTGGTCAGTGTCTAGGAGATGCGTCCTGTGGGCACACTCAGCGCTGGGCCCCAGATCAGGGCCTGGCACACAGTGGGCCCTCAGTTGGTGGTCCCGCTGCTCTATTTCATCCCTAAATCTGCCCCAGGAGGGCTATGGTGTTATCCCTCCAGACCAAGAGAAACCGAGGGCCAGCAAGGACACCAACGCACTAGTGTGGCATTGGAAGGGACTCGAATCTGGCACTCAGGTTCCAGGTGTGCCGGGCCCCCAGACCCTGCTCAGCAGAGCTCACCTGACTCAGGGCAAGGAGGCCAGGACAGGAACCAGAACAGTTCCAGTCCGTGTCTTCATGGAACCTCCCGCTGCACCTGGGTCGCAGCCATCCCGCCTCAGCCCTGGCTCCACCCGCAGCCCAGCGCTGGGTTGTGGTGTCTGCCACTTCTTCTCCCTCATTCCGGGCCAGGCTGGCTGGGGCCTGAGGTGCAGAGCTGGCCCGGACACGCTTCTCCCTGCACCAGGAATGTCACTTACAGGAGGATCATGTCAGCTATGTCGTAGCATCACCCTGGCACCAATCAGAATTTAAAGAAAAAGAAATTGAGTACTTCAAGTATAGACATTATGAGGTCTTTGAAAGCCTGAAGTTATTACAGATTTTCAAACTATAAATGGAAAGGTCCCTGAAGCATTGCACAGGTTTAAATTTCTAGTAAACTATATCTCAATCTCTATAACCATGTGAACAAAAAACACTTGTTTTCTTTAAAGAGGAAAATGTGCTTGTGACAAAAAAAGGAAAAAGCCACTGTGGGTTCTACCCAGCCCTGATTGGCCCATTTCCTGCTCTGACCTCATAAAGAGCCATTGTGACCAACTTACCAACACCTGTGTAAGCCCCTGGCTGGGCCTAGGATTTCCATCCATATTGCCCAGGAAGCTGCTTTTTGGTGACCTGTGGAGTTTGACCACAGTGAGACTGCTGGTTCCTTGTTAGTTAGCATGGTTAGTGTAGTTAGTATGGTTAGCGTTGTTTGCTAGTTGTGTTAGTGTAGGATAGTAAGTTTGTTAGTTTTGTTACCATACTCTAGTTAATATTGTTTGCTAGTAGCCTTAGCATGGCATAGTTAATATTGTTTTTTATTACTGTTAGGATAGTATACTTGGGATTATTTTTTGTAGTATTAGTGTAATTAGCATCGTTATCCTATTTAGCATTATTTATTAGTATTTTTAGCATAGTTCATACAGTTAGTATTGTTAGTATTGTCAGAGTAGTTAGTAGAGTTAGTACTGTTAGTAGTCTTAGGCTAGTTAGTATAGGTGGCGGTGCTCATTAGTTAGTTAGTGTCGTTAGTATAGAGTTAGCCTCTTTAGAAGCAACCATGGAGCAGGCCTGGCCCTCAGTTCATCCACTGAGGACTTCAACAGTTATAAAGCCCTCAAGACAATTGGCTTGGGCAGCTTTGACAAGGCGATGCTGGCCCAGCACCCTCCTACTGGGACCCAGGTGACCAGGAAAACTAGGTCCAAGAAGACCCTCCCCAGCCTGGAAAGTGTTGATATGGAGGTCCAAGCCATGAGAGCCCTGAATCATCGAGCTTCCTTCAGCTTCTGGTTGTCACCAAGAATGAAGACACCCTCTGCTTAGTCACAGAGTATGCCCGTGGCAGGGACCTTTTCTGGGACATAGTGAGACCCCACTGCCTGAATGAGGAGGCCAAATTCCACCAGATCCTGGCTGCCAAGCAGTACTGCTGCGAGAACCACGTTGCCCCCGGAACTGACCCCCCAATCTTCTACTTGATGAGAGTGAGAACACCAATCTGGCAAACTTCAGCTTTGCCACATTTCATGAGGGGAAGATGTGGGACACCTTCTGTGGAGCTCCTCCTTTTTGTGCCCCAGAAACGGTCCTCGATGAAGAATACGTGGGACCGGAGGTGGACGTGTGGAACATCGGTGTTGTTCTCCACAACCTGACAGCTGGGCGTCTTCTATTTCATGGTGACACCTGAGAGGAAATTAAAAGTAACATCAGGCCGGGCGCAGTGGCTCACGCCTGTAATCCTAGCATTCTGGGAGGCCGAGGCGGGCAGATTGCTCTAGGTCAGGAGTTCAAAACCAGCCTGAGCCATACCTCATCTCTACTAAAAATAGAAAAAAATTAATTGACGAACTAAAAATATACCTACAAAAAATTAGCCGGGCATGGTGACACATGCCTGTAGTCCCAGCTACTCAGGAGGCTGGGGCAGGAGGATCACTTGAGCCAGGAGTTTGAGGTTGCTGTGAGCTAGGCTGATGCCATGGCACTCACTCTAGCCTGGGCAACAAAGTGAGACTTTTCACCCATGGAAGGCATGAGACACCTGCTTTCTTTTCTGAAGAATTGAAAACATTTTTGAAGTTGTTCCTGACCGTTGACACCTGGAGAGGCCCACCCTCCCTGGAATTATGAGGGACATTTGGATCAAGGGGCAGGAGACACCGGAGGAGACCAGGAGAGCCACAGTGCCTGCCAGTCCTCTAGCCAGCCTGTACAGGAGTCCCAATGCCAGCGTAGCCCCCAGCGTGGCCCAATGCCTCCCTGTCCACCAGCACCAGCAGCCATGGGGAAGAACAAGGAGACACCTCTCTCCAGGAAACATCCGGGAAGACAACTGTTTCCACTCTGGGCAGCCAGATGGGAAGACCTCAGCCTCTCCCTCTGAAGACAGCCAGTGCCTGAGGGGCTTGCCAGGAGATTTGCCGAGTTTATGTTAAGAATGTGCTGTGTCCTGCCAGCCCGAAAAATCTGCTGCAGACGGTTGAACAGGTGGAGCCAGAGAATGTGGACAGCTGAAGCAACAGGAGCAAGTATGTGGGGCGGTCCAGCCCTGCTTCCTGCATCTTATTTTATTTATTATGGTTTTGCTGATATTATTTTTAATAGACAAGTCATAGTTGCATACCTGTGTGGGGTACATTGTGAATTTTATATATGTGCACTATGTGGATTGTGACAGAAAGCTAATTACATATCCATCACCTCAGAAAGGCAAATGCAGCATGATGTCACTTATGTGTTGAATCTGCAAAGCTGACCTCATAGAAGCAGAGCAGTTTGATGGAGAGGAGAGGCTGGGGGTGGCAGAGGGGGAGGGCATGGGTAGTTGGTCACAGGCCACAGACAGGAGACAGGAGGAAGAAGCCTTGACATCTGTGCACAGCAGGGTGCAAGAGAAAATGAGAATGTCCTGCACATTTCAAAATACCTGAGAGTCCCCTTCAAATGTCTCCTTGGCTTTAGAGTGGACAGCAAGAAGAGCCTGAGCTCCCTGGATCTTGGCAACACCGTCGGTGTGTGAATTCAGCCAGGCGTGGACTCACAGCTCTGGGTGTGAGTCAGCAAGAAGCAGCCGGCGACCTGCAAAGACATCTGAGTGAGTTGTAGCAAGGCCTGGAGCCTGGAGATAAGAAGGCTCCTCCATGCCCACCTGGTCCCCTTTGTTCCTCAGTGTGAATTTTCTTGGTGTTCAACAGCCCAGTAAGAGGTCACCCAGAGATGCTGTCCTTAAAGTCCATCCCTGGCTCTCACCCCTTCAGCAATGCCTTCTTTTTTTATGTCATCACACATAATAATCCAAATACATTTGAATTATTTTGTGAAGTAATTTTATGTCTAGGGACCCACAGTTCCAATTCTGTGGAAGCCATCACCCTTCTAAGCTCTTCTGTATTTGCAAGTCCTCATTAGGTTGGCTGAGCTGCGTTTCTGGCTCATGTTTACCTCAAGGTCTCAATAGATCATTATCTTAAGGAGATAGAATATTCCAGATTGGTATTCTACTGCCTTTCAGTTCTTTCTTGAGAACACATGGATGTTAAAGGATCATTCAAACCTGTCTTGTCTTGTTAGTTGACTTTCCTCAGTTTTCAGAGCAAAAGACACAAGGTGGAAACTGAATTATAATGTCCTAGATGCCAAAGTTTCTAGTTATGAATCCCTGTGCCAACCAGGAGAAAAAGATGAGTGGAGAACTGACTATAATTTAGTCTATTGCTTTATTTTATATTGTTTTGATACACTGAACACTTTTGAAGGGCAAACTCTATTTGATTTAGTGAGAAGTAGTGTAAGCATTCCCCTTTGCCTAATGTAATAACAGATTTGTTCAGAAGGTCATCCCTATGAAATCTTGTACCAGTGTTATCAGTTTTTGTGATTACAAAAGAGGCAAAGGGAAGATTTTGAGGAGGAGAATCTTAAATTTTGAAAACAATAACTTTTTCTATTGTTTTGGCATTGGTATTAATTTATTGTTTGTGAATATGAAACATTGAGGAGCCCCACCCCCAATCAGCATACTCTGATCCATGACACCAATTACTAGACTACAGTTCAGTTGCTTCTTTTAAAGAAAAATGGAAACAGATCCTTTAAAATGTAGGAAAGTCAAAGACAATAGCCTCTTAGGCACCACAATTAATTTATGGCACCTATACTTACAAGTATTGTGAAAGGTTCAAAGGCATGCCAGGTTTTCTAGGGCTCCAGCTGGCTATAGCCAATTCTTGTGCACAAGTTTTTAGGAAAGGACAAATTACATCAAGAAAAATTCAGAGCTCAAATGGTTGACCTATCAATATGTAATTAAAATGTCTCTCATGCTTTCTGTTATCTGGCTACCCTAAAACCTGCTAACTAACTGAAGGGAAAAAAAAAATGTCTAAAGAAGTTTTTTTGAAAATCAAACTGCCATGGAAACTTCTTTACCTAAAACTTTGATCCACCGACCTAATTAAGTTACTAATCAGGGCAACTAAAGTTTGCCATGTAAACAAGTTCCAGTTTTGCCAGAAGAAATTTGGATCCAATTGTCTTTTTAACAGACTGGTGAGTTGTATATCATCTCAGGGCTAGTGTTTTGTGTGTGTGTGTGTGTGTGTGTGTGTGTGTGTGTGTGTGTGTGAGCGTATATGTTCAGGTATGTTTGTGTCTATCCATGTATTACATGTTTGTGCTTACATGGTTTCAGACTAGCTTAAAAATAAGAGAGCGCGGCCGGGCGCGGTGGCTCACGCCTGTAATCCTAGCTCTCTGGGAGGCCGAGGCGGGCGGATTGCTCGAGGTCAGGAGTTCAAAAAATAAGAGAGCGCTCATAAATTAATTAAGCAAACCCAAATGGTTCATGTGAATTTAGTAAGCTTTGGTAAATAAGCTGGGTTATTATTATTTTAAAAAATATCCATAAAAAAGTAGCCATAAAAGGGTATTATTGGTAAAGTAATAGTAAAAATATTTTGAAATTGTCAGCATACATTTGATTTTGCCTGGGTTCTACTGGACATTTTTATGTTCATGAGGTGTTGAGATTTGACATAAAGGCTATAAAACTATAAACTCAAACAAAGACAAAATGATCTGTTTATATGATTTTTAATAAGAGAAATTTAATATTGTTGGTCTAATAATAGCTAAATCTCCTGAGTTACCAAAAAAATACCTTATGTGTTTAACTTTAAGGTAAAAATATGGATGTATGTAAGTGTTAGAACATTATAATAAATAAAACACCAAGTAGATAGAGCACAAAAGAAAAAACTTATGGTGAAAGGTTTATGAGAAATTTTAGTTTTGGTCTTTTAATCTTAACTCAGATACAGTTTATTTCCACTGATTTCAATGTCTGTGGAAAGGTACATGAATGTGTTTCTAACTCACTCTTTCTGTCATCTGAGATTAACAGTACTGTTAGGCATTCACAGCTATCCTAGAAGTTGCAGCTATAGGAACTTAAATTGGAAACTTTAGTTTTCAGTTAGTCTTGTCTACTTTGTCTCCTACTCTTTACAAGCTAGCCAGTTCTGTGTACATATGTGGTTATAACACAAATTCTGCCTAGGAAAAAAATTCCTAAACTGTTAACTTTTGTATAATAATTTATTTTAAAAAAAGAAGTAAATGATTGATTAAAATCAAAAGAGAATCTCAAAAAGTCTTACTCTTTAGAAATAGTGCATTTGCTCAAGTTTATACCCAAGTTGAAAAAAAATGTTCTGAGACTATTTAGATTGTTTTTAGAACACCTTAGTGTTGATCCTCATGTAAAAGAAAAAAAACTGTTACAACTTTGTATCCTTGTTTGAGGTGTTTAAAAATTGATGCTGAAGGGTTTTTTTTTAGTCTAAAGTCAAGAAGTATCATGCTGACAGGGCTCAGAAAACTATCCTAAAATGAAGGCTTCACACGCAAAAATTCTCTAATCTTGCCTGGTCTACCTCCCACTTCTTCCAATTCCTCCCTGAAGCTAGCCACAGAAGTCAAAATCCCTCTTCCCCAAGACAGGGCATAAAGGCCAGAACCTCTTTTTCTGAAAGCTAGCTATAAAACTTTAAAATTATTCTATGTAAAAACTGCCCCTAAAGTAATTATCTGACCCACTTTGTTTAACTGTAAAACCCGCATTCCAGGAAGGGCCATGCCTTATACCCAGAAGGAAGGCACACTCAGACGGGGCCAGAGAACGCCTGTAATCTTAGCACTCTCGGAGGCCAAGGAGGGAGGGTTGCTCAAGCTTAGGAGTTCGAGACCAGCCTGAACAAGAGCGAGAACCCATCTCTACTATTAATAGAAAGAAATTAATTGGCCAACTAAAAATAAATTAAAAAAAAAAAATAGCTGGGCATGGTGGCGCATGCTGACACCACGGCACTCTAATCCTGGCAACAGAGTAAGACTTTGTCTCAAAAAAAAAAAGAACAGGGCCGGGCGCTGTGGCTCACGCCTGTAATCCTAGCTCTTGGGAGGCCGAGGCGGGCGGATTGCTCAAGGTCAGGAGTTCGAAACCAGCCTGAGCAAGAGCGAGACCCCGTCTCTACTATAAATAGAAAAAAATTAATTGGCCAACTGATATATATATAAAAAATTAGCCGGGCATGGTGGCGCATGCCTGTAGTCCCAGCTACTCGGGAGGCTGAGGCAGAAGGATCACTGGAGCCCAGGAGTTTGAGGTTGCTGTGAGCTAGGCTGACGCCACGGCACTCACTCTAGCCTGGGCAACAAAGCGAGACTCTGTCTCAAAAAAAAAAAAAAAAAAGAAGAGGCCAGGGAAAATCCAGACAGAAAGGCCTTTCTGGGTTTCACTCAGCCTGTTGGAATTAGCTCACGCCCATTTTGTCCAATCATATTTCTACATGGCTGTCCATACTGTAAACATAAAAATGAACAATTTCCCCTGCGTCTTTGAGTATTCATCCTCAAGGTGTCCATGTAAAAGTTCTTAGTTTTGTCCTATAAATCTTAATGTCAGTGAAATTTTCAGTAGATGCTTATGGGAACACTGGCCTTTCCTCCCTATAGTTTGCCTAAACTTTGGGGGCCAGGGACACTTTGATCCCTCTGAAATCTATAGATTTTGTTTTGGGATGTAGTGTTTTGGAAGGATCTAATTAATTAATACCTTTTAAATAGAATATATTCTAAAGCAGGGGTCCGTAAACTTTTTAAACAGGGGGACAGTTCACTGTCCCGCAGACCGTTGGAGGGCTGTTGGAGAGTGCGGCGCACACTCCACACATGTGCACTTATGGCCCAGGACATGTCGGCTGCTAAGCAGGACAGGCAGCGGTGGCAAAAACACCCGGCGGACCGGATAAATGTCCTTGGCGGGCTGTAGTTTGAGGACGCCTGTTCTAAAGTGTCTACTATGTTTATAAAATTTAAAAATGATATTACATTGTTTAAAATAACAAGTCTCATTAAAAATACTCATGTTTTTCTTGGTTAATACTTATGAGTTTAAAAAAAACAATTAAAACTATATTGTTGCCTGCTGTGTATTATGTATCTAATTTACAGGGTATAAAAATAGTTAACAAAAAATAACTTACAATAATAACTGAAATCCAAGTGAACTACCAAAATAAATAAGTAAATTAGATACATATGAATGGAAAAACAAATGAAATTTTCACATAATTTCAAATCTTAAAGTTGTATTATGTTAAGATGATCATCAAATGTCTGAGTCATTTATAAAATACTAAAACATTTCAAACATAAGTTTAAGTTTATATACCTTGATGTCTTATTTTCAAATATACTTATGAATGCAAATAAAATTGGTGACTGATAACAGTTCAAAGTTACTTTAACTTTCTAAGTTTTTCTCAGAGTTGATATTATAATATATAATATATAACTTCTGGAGGGAAGGGAAACAATTCTATAAGAAAAAAATTTTAATCAAAAGCATATAAGACATAAATATTATAGTTTTGGAAAAAGATAACTGTCTAATTTATTGTTTTTAAAATTGCTTTAAATTAACTAAATAATGATTAAAATTAAATGGATTCAAAGTTAAACATTATAAAAGGTTTATAGGAATCTTAATTTACCAGCCTAGCATGCTGGGAGGCCAAGGCGGATGGATCGTTTGAGCTCAGGAGTTTGAGACCAGCCTGAGCAAGAGCGAGACCCTGTCTCTACTAAAAATAGAAAGAAATTACTTGGACAGCTAAAAATATATATATCAAAAAAAAAAATTAGCCAAGCATGGTGGAACATGCCTGTAGTCCCAGCTACTTGGGAGGCTGAGGCAGAAGGATCGTTTGAGCCCAGGAGTTTGAGGTTGCTGTGAGCTAGGCCTATGCCACGGCACTCTAGTCCAGCAACAAAGTGAGACTCTGTCTACAAAAAAAAAAGAGGAAATCTTCACTTACCACCAAATTGGTTAAAATTAGATGGATTTGTTTATAAGATTTTATTAAAATTAACTTTATCATTAATACACTAATGGAATAAACAATTTAGTTTTCTCTTTTGATCTAGATTTTCATATGACAACATGAATAAAAAATTTGAGAAATAACAAAACATTTGAGAAATAACAAAAAATTTTGTTGTTCACCCTTTGAATAAATTACAAAAGGGGGTGGGAGGAGAGAAAGAGACAGATTCAGCCTCCTCATTAACTTGTACTGCAGTCTGTCCGTTAGGTCTTATACATGTTTGAGATACTGTGTCTCCTTCATATCAAAGAATAGGATTTTTGCATTTTAAAAATATTTAAATTATCAGTTTGGCAAAGTAAATGTCTATAATTTTATACCAACCTACTATCTTGTTTCATGACAACAACTGTATTATGATAAATAATTCATAATCTCCTACTCTGTAAGCTTTCACTGACATTTAAAGTTACTAAAAAAACCATTCTAGTCAATACATGTGACTGTATATATAATGTGTATGAAAGAATAAAATGTTTATAAGAAAAATGACAAAAGAAGCATAAATATGTTATTAAAATATATATAATTTTGTCTAGTTCAGGTCATTTAGAGGTTAAACCAAAATATGGATTTAGAAAGAAAATAAAACCAAATTTAAAAAGTTACTTGTTACCTGTACTTACCGATTATGTAAAAAAAAAAAAAAAAAAGTTACTTGTAAGTAAGAGAAAAATGTATAAAAGGCAATGAATGTAAAAACATTTTTTGGATAAGAATATTTTTTGGATAAGAAAGTTTAAGCAGAAAGTTGTTAGGCATGTTTTATAGCTAGTCTATAATTCCTGCAGGATGGAATAAAGTTTATAAAGGGAACTTATTAAGGAATTTTGTATGTGGTCCAGTTAGTTGCAATTAAAAAGAAATTTTGGTTAACACAAATTTTTCTGTAAATATTAATTTGCTCTTAATAAAATGACATAATATATTCATTTTAATTCTATAACCTGTTTCCCTTTAATTTTTTTTTAAAAATGGCACTACAGAAGGTTATTTCTTACTTTTCAGTATTGGCCTAAAAAAAAAAAGACAAAAATTTTATACTTTATCAAGATAATCTCTGTACTCTCTTTGTTAGGTTTGGACTAACTACAAAAACTAAACTTTAAAGGGGTTAAGGTTCCACCCACTTAACTTACTTTAATCACCTTTAGAATCTTTTGATGACTGTTTCTCTCTGTTAAATAAATGACCCTTATTTCATAGTGGCTTGTGATTGTATTTAAACAAATGTTTTAAGCCTTGAATATTTGACAGACTTTCAAAAAGCCAGATTCTAAATGCAGTCTTCTCACCTTAAACTAACTTTTTTATATATTAGAGACACTGAAAGGCTAACACAAACATATTAAAATATTATTTAGCACATGAAACCATACAGAAAACACTGTGAAATATAAAATGGTGTTCACCTTTCATTGGATTATATTTGTATATTATTAATATATATTCCAGTATTGTAAAATATTGATGTGTCTTAATGTATGATATCAGTAATAATTATAGTCATTATATTTAATAACTGTATGCCACAAAAATAACCAGCTTTTTCAATTGTCTCTTTAACCATAACTTGTGTAAGACTTTTATTTTACTTTAATTGATCTCTAAAAGTGTGTTTTGTTTTGTTTTTTTTACTAGCTAAGTCCAAGTTTACATCAAGAAAAATCATAGAAAGGACTTACAAGTTCTCTTAAATACAGGTTTCTAATAATTTTGGAGATTATATATCATTGGACTAAAACAAAAAAAGCTTCCAGGACTTTAATTAAAAAACTAATCTGTACCTGAGTATAGTTCACTCAGCCTCATAGGACTGAACTAAATTTTTATAAAAAGGTTTTTTAAAAAATATTACTGATTGTCTTGTTTTCCATAATCCTGACAAATTTTAAGTAAATAACAAGTTTACCTGATATCTCCAAGACCCAAAGCTATTGAATCCGCCAAGGCCCTGTTCAAACATCCTCCCTCTAGACCCAGGGACTATCAGGGAAGAGGGGCCCTGTGAAACTATAATGGCCAATTCCAGGGATGGAATTAGTTTAAACCTCCAAGATCAAAGAGGAGCATATAAAAGCCTAAACAAACACTAACTGAAAACCTTTGTCTTTTCAGGCCATGTGGTGCAGATGACCATCCCAACCATACATTTTTTTCTCCCATTTCTTATAGACTTAACTTCCTGAGTATAATTGTTCTCAGTATGGTGTCATGCAAAAGGAAATATATAAAATAAGTTATCAGCTACCTTAGGACAAATTACTAAAGAGACTAAAATAATGTAACACAATTAAAAAATCTATAATTCAAGAGCTTAAATGGTTAACAATGCTTATGTTTTCTATAAGATTATAACTAAACTCCGCAAAATACAATAGTTCAACACTAGTAGATGAATTAATTTTATAGGCTTGCCTTTAACATTTTTGATTTTACCTAAAATATTTTAAAGGATTAATGAGCGTCTGTCTACCTCCAATTCTCTCTGATCTAAACCATTAATTGGCTGTAAGCCCTTCTGACTATTCAGTCCTCTTGGCCACAAAGGTCTCCCTGAAGGCTTGAAGGGACCCAGAGCAGGTAGCCAGCCACACCACCCAGGCAATGGATGGAACAAAATAAGAGTTTTGCCATAGATGCTCCCTCTGGCAGATTTTGGACAAAACAGGGGACTTGTAAACTAAAATAAAATCTTACCTCTTTGCCCACCAGCAGCTGACTGAATTGATCCCCTCCTGGCTAAGCGAATATCCTAGAACTAAATTGCCTGCTACAAGGAGGAAGGTCAACATGCCTCCTCATGCTCCCCTCCATTCTTGCAGACATCCTTTGTAACTCATTTGCAGGCCAAAGGGCTATGCCAAACAAGCCTGAGGGTCCTCAATTTACACAACAAATATATGCCTAGTGACTTGTTTCTGATTAACAGACCTCCTTATCTCAAAACATTCCAATCCTTTAGAGAAAGATTTATGTCTTTAATGAATTACAAATCCAAGAATATTTAAACCTACCTATAACCTGTTAAGCCCCCCTCCCCCATCAAGTTGGCCCACATTTTTTGGTCCAAATCAGTGAACACCTCTTCCATGTATTGATGTATGACTTCACCTGTAACCCCTGTCTCCCTGAAATGTATACAACCAAACTGTAACCCAGCCAGAGTGGGTCCACTTGCTCAAGGCTTCCTGGGCATAGGTCCCAGTCATAGTCCACAAATCTGATTGAGAATAAACCTCTTTAAATTATTTTACAGAGTTTGCCTTCTCTTCTGTTAACATATTCAAACCAGAAAAATAGAACAAAGAGTATGCATTAATCATCCTCAAATATGTGAAGGGCCATCATGAGTGAAGATGAACACAACCAGTCTGCATATTCCCATGAGGGAGGCCAGAGAGAGTGGGTAGGACTTACAGGGAATCAGACGGAAGAATTTTCTATTGTTCAGAGCTTTCCAGGAAGGAAGATGCAGCCTTAATAGATAGTGAGTTAAGGCCAAAGGATCATCACCTGTGAGTACATTTATAGAGAATTCATTTATTGAACAGAAGGTTGAGGAAAATACTCTTACTTTAAGGTTATACTGTGTCAATGGAAATTCTGAGCTAAATTTGAAGACCATGACCTTAGCCATGCCCAAAAAGCATTGAGGCAGTGCACGTGCTATAGCTTGGTTACAGTTTGTTTTTATACATTTCAGGGAGACACAGGTTACAGGTAAAGTCATAAATCAATACATGGAAGGCATACATTGGTTTTGGCCCAAAAAGATGGGCCCTCTCAAAGCATGGGGTCTTATAAGTGATAGGTGGCTTTAAAGACTCTTTGACTTGTAACTGATTAAAGACATGAAGTTTTTGTCTAAAAGTTTTTTAGAATATTAAGATAAGCGAGCCTATAAATCAGACAAGACACTGAACATATATTTGCTGTGTAAACTGAGGACCTGCAGGTTTGTCCTTAGGCCTGTTAATGGGTTACAAAGGATATCTCCCAAAAGAGACAGGGTATGATGAGGCATGTCTGACCTCCCTCCTCCTGGCAGGCAATTTAGTTTTAGGATATCCCCTTGCCCAAGAGGGGGTCCATTCAGTCTATGAGTTGGAGGGAGTGGGAGGAGATCTTAACATTTTATTTTAGTTCACAAATCCCCCCTTTTGGCCAAGATCTGCCAGAAGCAGCATCTATGGCCAAATTCTAACTTTCTTGTATCCATTTTCTGGGTGGTGTGACTACCTGACCCAGGTCCATTGAGTACCTCCATGGGACCCTTGTGGCCAAGAGGACTAAAGAGCCAAAAGGGCTTATAAGCAATTAAATGTCTCAGGCTAGACAGGACTGGAGGTAGACAGGTCTCATCCACCCTTTCCAAGAAATATTAGTGTGAAAACAAAAATATCAAAGGCAAGGCTACAAAATTAATTCATCTACAAGTGTTGAACTACCATATTCTTGAGTTTAGTGGTAGACTTGTACCAAACATAAGCATTGTTAACCATTTAAGCTAACAGAATTTTGAGACTTTTATTCTGTCAAAATTTTTAGTCTCTTTAGTAAGTTATACTAAATTGGCTCATATATTACTGGTTATATCTCCTTTTGTATAAACCCATTACTGAGAACAATTATACTCAGGAAGTTCTAAGTCTATAGGAAGCAGGAAAAAAAAAATTATGATTGGGATGGATATCTGTAACACCTGGCCTCAAAAGACAAAGTTTTTCAGTTAGTATTTGTTTAGGCTTCTGTGTGCCCCTCCCTGATCTGGAGGGTCTAAACTAATTTGTCCCTCGGAATGCACCCTCACAATCTCACAGGCCCCCTCTTCTGTGTCAGTCCTTGGGCGTAGAGTTAGCATATTTGAACAGGGTGTTTGCAGATTCTATACTTCCAGGATCTGGAGATATCAGGTAAACCTGTTTTTATTTAAAACTTATCAGGACTATGTAAAACAAAACAAAAGAATCAGTAATGTTTTAAATAAAGTCTTTTTATAATAATCTAGTTGGTCTCATGAGATTCAGTTAGTGATACTCATGGACATATTAGTTTTCTGACTAATGTCCTGGAAGTTTGTTTTGTTTTAGTCCAGTGATATATAATCTCCAAAGTTATCAGAAACCTGTATTAAAGTGAACTTGTCTGCCTTTCCATGACTTTACTTCAAGAAGCAAAATTTGAACTTAGCCAGAAAGTACCACTTTCTGAGATGAGTTAGAGAAAAATGTAAAAAGGCAATGAATATAGAAATATATATGTATCTTTTTTCTAAGAAAGGTTAAACAGAAAGAAAAATTTAAAGAAATGATCTTATATGGAATGTTTTGTCCTAAAATGACTGGTTATTTAGGAAAAGGGAATGTTAAGACAAAACAGAAAGTTTTCAGGCATTTTTAAAAAATAGTTTATGGTCCTTGCAGGTTGGGATAAAGTTTATAAAGGAAAGTTATGAAGGAATTTTGTATGTGGTCCAGTTAGCTATAGCTAAAAAAAGAAATTTTGGTTAAAACAAAGTTTCATAGCCGTATGCAATGGCTCATGCTTGTAATCCTAGCACTCTGGGAGGCCGAAGTGGGAGAATCACTCAAGGTCAGGAGTTCAAAACCAGCCTGAGCAAGAGTGAAATCTGGTCTCTACTAAAAATAGAAAGAAATTAATTGGACAACTGAAAATATATAGAAAAAATTAGCCAGGCATGGTGGCACATGCCTGTAGTCCCAGCTACTTGGGAGGCTGAGGCAGAAGGATTGCTTGAGCCCAGGAGTTTGAGGTTGCTGTGAGCTAGGCTGACACTACAGCACTCTAGCCAGGGCAACAGAGTCAGAGTCTGTCTCAAAAAACAAAACAAAACAAAGTTTTCTGTAGATATTAATTGCCTTCTTAATGAAATGATATGATGTACTCCTTTTGCTTCTATAACCTGTTTCCTTTTTAATTTAAAAAATCACACTACAAAACATGTTTCTTTACTTTTCAGTAACTCACCTAAAAAAGGCAAAGATTTTATACTTTATCAAGATAATCCCTGTGCTCTCTTTATTAGGTTTTATTAACTAGAAAAACTGAACTTTAAAAGGGTTAAGGTTTACACCGATATAACTTACTTTATCACTTTAAGAATCCTTTGATGATTATCTCCTGGCTTAAATAAGTGACCCTGATTTTATAGTGCCTAGTGATTGTATTTCAACAAATGTTTAAGCCTTTGATATTTAACAAGCTTTCCAAAACCCAAATTCTAGATCCAGCATTTTGACCTAAAACTAGATTTTTATATATTAGGGCTACTGAAAGTCTAATAGAGACTTAGATTTATTTGGTGCATTAAAACCATACACAGGCCGGGCGAGGTGGCTCACACCTGTAATCCTAGCACTCTGGGAGGCCGAGGCGGGCGGATTGCTCGAGGTCAGGAGTTCGAACCACAGCCTGAGCAAGAGCGAGACCGTCTCTACTATAAATAGAAAGAAATTAATTGGCCAACTAATATATATATATAAAAAATTAGCCGGGCATGGTGGCACATGCCTGTAGTCCCAGCTACTCGGAGGCTGAGGCAGAGGATTACTTGAGCCACGAGTTTGAGGTTGCTATGAGCTAGGCTGACGCCATGGCACTCACTATAACTGGGCAACAAGTGAGACTCTGTCTCAAAAAAAAAAAAAAAAAACATACACAGAACATTGTCAAATATGAAATGGCATATAACTGTCTTTTGGTTATATTTGTATAAGTATGTTATTAATATATGTACCAATATTATAAAATATCAACATATCTTGGAGTATATTATCAGTAATAATTATGGCTATTATATAAATTGGCATATACAACAAAAATAACACATTTTGTTTGTCAATTGTCTCTTTAAACATGGCTAGTTCAAGTTTTGTCAACCCTCAAAAAAAAAAAGTTTTAAGTAAAAAACAAGTTTATCTGATATATCCATATCCTGGAACTATTGAATCTGCAAACACCCTGTTCAAATATGCTAACTCTACGCCCAAGGACTGACACAGAAGAGGGGGCCTGTGAGATTGTGAAGGGTGCATTCCGAGGGACAAAATTAGTTTACACCCTCCAGATCAAGGAGGGGTACATAGAAGCCTAAACAAATACTAACTAGAAAACTTTGTCTTTTGAGGCCATGTGGTATAGATATCCATCCTAATCATGAAATTTTTTTCCTGCTTCCTATAGACTTAGAACTTCCTGAGTATAATTGTTCTCAGTAATGGGTTTATACAAAAGGAGATATAACCAGTAATATATGAGCCAATTTAGTATAACTTACTAAAGAGACTAAAATATTGTGACAGAATAACAGTCTCAAAATTCTGTTAGCTTAAATGGTTAACAATGCTTATGTTTGTTACAAGTCTACCACTAAACTCAAGAATATGGTAGTTCAACACTTGTAGATGAATTAATTTTGTAGCCTTGCCTTTGATATTTTTGTTTTCACACTAATATTTCTTGGAAAGTTTTAAAGGGTGGATGAGACTTGTCTACCTCCAGTCTTATCTTGCCTGAAACATTTAATTACTTATAAGCCCTTCGACTCTTCCGTCTCTTGACCACATCATTCCCATCGAGGGATTGGATATACCTGGGGCAGGTAGCCACCCCACACAGGCAATGGATGAGATAAAATCAAAGTTTGGCCATAGATACTGACTCTGCCAGATCTTGGCCAAAAGGGTTAACTTGTGAACTAAAATAAAGACTTAAGGCTCCCTTTCCCAAACCTTCAACCAGCTCACTGAATGGACCCCCTCTGGGACAAGGGATATCCTGAATCTACATTGCCTGCCAGGAGGAGGGAAGTCAAACATGCCTCATCATGCCCCCTCCCTTCTTGGGGACATCTTTTGTAACCCATTAACATGCGTAAGGACAAACCTGCAGGTCCTCAATTTACTCAACAAATATATGTCCAGTGGCTTGTCTCTGATTTACAGGCTTACTTACCTTCACATTGCAAGCCTTTAGACAAAAGCTTCATGTCTTTAATCAGTTACATGTCAAAGAGTCTTTAAAGCCACCTATCACCTGTAAGACCCCCATGCTTTGCGATGGCCCACATTTTTGGGCCA